AGGCGAGCGCGCTACCGCTTGAGCCACATCCCCAGCCCCCCCCTTGAAGAAATCTTCCTGACAGGCAGGCAGGCTTCTGGGGTGCTTTTGGGTTTGAGAGGCCCAAAGCTCAGGAACTTTGTGTAGTTTTTATTGTGGTTTGAATCTGAAAAGTCCTCTGAATGCTCATGTGCTAAAGGCTTGGTCCCCAAGGCAGCTGTGTCCAGAGGGCACTTTGAGGGGTGATGGGCTCAGGAGGGCCCTGGCAATGGAGTAATCCATCAATGGAGTTAGAGCTTCCCAGACTCTTTGGGAGATGGCGAAACTTGCAGAAGTGGGGGCTAGTTGGGGAAATAGGTTACTGGGAGTGTGCCCTCGAAGGGTTTATTTTGTCCCTGGCTCCTTTATCTCTTTCCTTGCTTCCAGCCATCATGAGATGAGCAGTTTTCCTCCACCCTATGCTTCCGCCATTATGGACTGTCTCCCCAGAAAGTAAAACACCACTGGTCTAGGTGGTCGCCGACTGAACCCCCAAAACCATGAGCCAAAATAAAAATTCTCTCCTCTAAGCTGATTTATCATAACGGCAGGAAATTGACTGACACATTCTTTAAAGCAAAATCATGAGTACAAAATTAGGCAATAGGACTTTGGAAGAGCTCCTAAAACTCAGCTTTCCTCCGACAGCTCCTCATTCCATCCACCATCCTCACCTGGAGACTCAGGCTTCCACTCCTCAGGGAGACTTCAGAGCTGGGCTGAGGACTGTCCTCTCTCCTTGGAGCAAGTAATTCTGCTTACTTTTTTCTTTCCCCTTCTAGAACTTTTTTTTTTTTTTTGGTTACTGGTGATTGAACCCAGGGATACTCTACCACTAAGCCACATCCCAACCCTTTTTATTTTTTATTTTGAGACAGGATCTCACTAAGTTGCTCAGACTGGCCTCCAACTTATAATCCTCCTGCCTCGGTCTCCAGGGTTGCTGGGTTATAGGCATGCGCCAAAGTGCCCAACCCTTCTAGAGCTCTGAAGGGCAATCTTTCTACCTCTCTCCAAAATAAATCAAGCCTAATCAGCATTAGTAGGACAAATAGAAGAAGAGAGGGATGAGATTGTTTAAGGCAAAGAGATAGTAAACTTTATTTATGAAGTCGCTAGTATGAATTATGTTCTAATAATTCCAACAATCCATCCTCCTAGTTTATAGAAAGGGAAACTGAGGCTAACGGAGGGGAATTGTTTACTTGAGTTCCCCAGTTGGGAGGTGAAGGAGCCACCCTATTCTTTTCCCTGTGTGGACCATGGAGAGGTGGCGGGTGTCAGACAGGAAGGGGAGCCGGTGAAATTG